ACCTTGACCTTTCAGCTTGTGGCATTAAGGCCACATAAATTTGATGTAAAATTGGGACATTTTTTTATTTGCTTCAATATATATATATATATATATATATATATATATATATATATATATATATATATATATATATATATATATATATATATATATATATATATATATATATATATATATATATATATAACTCTGCAAAGTCGGGGGGGGGTGTTCAATACAGACGGAATTATGATGAATTATATGACCTTGACCTTTTGACTTCAAGATTAATAAGGGTCTTCTTTAGGCCATAAAAAGTTGTGGTATGAAATTTCATCGCAAAAGCCCATTTGTTTTTAGTCTTTTCGAGATATCGCCCGGAAACGAAAGTGTTACATACAGACAGAAATACAGACAGACGCACTGACAGACTGAAGGACAGACAGGCCCAAATTAATATCCCCAACCTTCAGAGGAAACGGGAGACAAAAATATCACCTCAGTCACACACTTCCTCAAATTTAGGTGATATAAAACTTCTTGTGATGGATTCACAATTTCAAGAATCAAAGCTTCGGGATCATGAAGCAATTTTAGAATTAAGCCAGAATTTATACATTGGCTTAAAGTTTATTAAAGAAAACACTTAAAATTTGAAATGTCATTTTAAATATTTCTTAATCTTATCATTCAAGTATCAGTTTATCATAAATATTCATTTTAAAATACCTAAATTTTTGACTAAAGTTTAAGGCTGTTTTGTGGTCCAGGAGCCAGGATTCATTTTCGAAAATCCAAGCACAAATCAAACAGCATACTGAGTATCATAGCTGCAAATTTGGTATTGACTTCTTCCCAGAGAATTCATAAATTGGATCATGAATCAGGATTTTATCAAAATTATCTAAAAGTCAAGCTGTCCAACTTAAAAATGCTTTTAAAAATGGCATCACCAGATTTTTTTGAAATGTTGAATTTTGCTTCCCACTTAATAAACACTAAACAGATGACTGAAATTTAAACTTGAGTCTAAGTTTTCATGATCCCCAAGTCCGGTCCCAGAATCATGCAAACTTGGACCTAATTCAATCAAATTTTCAATTATCTGTAAGATAACAATGTTCCATAGTACATTGTAATTGTCGAATTAATCTCTAAATTTGCAGATAACGCACAAACGAGTGAAAACAACACATCTTGAAAAATAATTTTATTTTAGACTGTTAACGTTTTCTGTTTGATTTCTATAACATATCAGTATTAACTGCTATAAAGGAGAAACAGACATACTGTGCTACAGCGTATTCTACACGTGGTATAATTCAGACGTGGATTCTCCAAAAACTCCAAAGAACTTTAAGACAATTCAAAATCACGAAATTTTTCAAAAGTCGATATGATCAAAAACGTACAACTCTTCTACACTTTATATAACCATTCCTCGCGATAAATTAAACACTAGGCTTTTTTGATACCACAGACAATTGCAATCAAAATGGAACTCGCAAATCGTATCTTGAACAAAGTTACTTAGTTAAAAATCACTCTGATTCTACACACAAGTACTCTGAAGTTGATACTAAAAGGATGCTGGAGTTCCTCATTGATATCATTTAAGTAGTTTTCGGAGACCAGGTCTTCCAACAAACAGTTGGAAATTCCGATGGACACTAATAATGCTCCTTTATTAGCCGGTATGTTGTTATATTCCTATGAAACAGAAGTTATTCAGAAACTTTTGCACGAGAAGAAAACACTTGCTGTGGCCTCCAACATTCATACATGTATGTCGACTCTATATAGCCCAGTGAACTTAATTTACTGTAATGAAAAAAGGTGAAGACACTTCAGAGTGTGCCACATCTGTTTCATTTTAGGATGTACTGACAATTATCGATAAGTATCAACTAACAGCTAAATTGTATGCATGATTTCAGCTTTTCCATCGTTAACTTTCCCTATTTATGTAGTAATATTCCGTTATCACCTGGATATAGTGTTATGTTTCGCAACTAAAAAGGGGATGCTTACTCCTCCTAGGTACCTGATCCCAACACTGAAATTTCACGAGATCCGTCTCTTATGTCCTGTTCACAGATTTGTATCCTGTTCACAGATTTTCATTGTTTGTAGATTTTTTGAGATGGATCGCTGTTAGTTATCCTCACCCCTTTTCATACAAAGTTTGACTTAAGCTTCAGATGTTTTATGATCCCTGAATGGATCCGTTCTTAAAATAAAGAATCTGACCATAATATGTTTTTACTCTTTTTCATTCTATTTAATGACTATCGCCGGTAAGCTGAAAATAATTATCAATATTTTTTAAGTCCATGTACAATGTTATATGTTATATAAGATATAAATTTCATTATGCTCATATGGTACATATATAGTTCAAAGAAATTTTTACCAAAAGACAAAATACTTAACATTTGTTAGATATAAAGTACGAAAGACTGGTCAATGCTGATTGCTAATTTTTCTCGATAGCCATCTTATAATTTGCTAATAATTTACCCCCCCCCCTCAATGTTGTTCACTTGTACTGACACAACATCAACTGTAGTTTGCTGTGACTAACGATTTTATGAAGTTCATTTGTAGTTCAAACAACTATATCACGGCATAGAGCATTGATCATTTGAGACCCGTACTAAAAATCGATTACTTTTACTATATTAAGGAACTGATGCTATTTTTTCTTAGTTGAATAAAAATATTTTTTTTCTTTTCTGGAGATCATACATGTGACATACCTCTAAAATGACACTTAGATATTTATTGTCAGATCATTCATTGTAAATGACTTAATGGCTGATTCATTGAAAATTTATTGATTGAGAAGTAAATTAATAAATAGGAAGGGGAGAAGTGATTGGATGTAGTAGATTGTTGTTTGAGGTATTTGAGCACCACATCTCTCTGTTTGTACTATATAAACTCTCAAGGTCGTTTATCTGTAAATGCGCAGTTTTATCTGCTATTGCGCAGTAAAGTATGAATATTTGCTTTTAATCTAAATTCTTGGTCTAAATTATTATCGTAGGATGTTTCATAACGTATTGGCATGAGTTGATGCACAGCATAGCTTCTGAAAATAGAATTTTCAGAAAGGAAAAGAAAGTAATATGCTGATTTTGTTTTTATGTCCATTCAGATCTAAATGCTAATTTGTAACAAGGAAAAAACCAATCAAACAAATATTTACAAAATCAATTTTCTTATAAAATCATATCTTAATTGTGTGAGAGACCCTAACAAACCTGTTTAAAACTATTCAATAACGACAGAATCTGTATACAACAAAAAACAAAACAATTTATGCAGTTTTTTCAATTTTTTTTTTCTTGCAAAATTTCTGGTAGAGGCTACCTGGGATTTTTGAGAGATTAAAAAAAAAATTTTGAAAATGGTTTAAAAGACAATGTTAAGTGTTCTTGAACTAATAACTTTGTTGACCCATTTACTTTGACCTGGCCTCTAAATCATTTTAAATAAGTACAATAGTACCCTTTAATGGGTTATCGCATTTTTAAAGGAGTCACGTTTTTATGTGCAACCTGATTTATTGTAAACATAACTTCAAAACAAGCCATTTCATTGAAAAAAAGTGCAAGAGGGTCATGCACTTGCTGTTCATCTGAAGATTTGTTTGAATGAAAAGGCTAAACATGTTTTGTACATGAGTATATGATAAAGAAATAGTTTCTCAAATAGTATTTAAAAAGTATATTCTCGTACTCTCGTTAGTCTATGCTCCTGTTACCAAATGAAATATACTTAAGCTTTCTCATCAAGTTTGATACATGATTTCGATTTAGATGTTAATTGTATTTAATCCCGTGGTTTCGATGTTTAGCATGTGATTTTAGTCGATACAAATTTATCAAAAATTGACGTTTTTTTTAAATACAAGGCTAAAAATGCATCAGGAATAGAATATTCCCTTAGCATTTTTTAAAAATAAAATATTTGATTCATGTACCAGCATATAATGCCAAGGCTATAAACTTTTAAATTAGCATTTACGAGTTATTAATATGATACATGTGTATAAAAATTATATAAGAATTAAAGGAACTCAATTTGTCTTTCTTACTAGCTTTTGTTAGATGTTCTCCAATGATTTTAATCAATTTTATTCAACATATAAGAAAACATCAACATAGGAGCACCCCCGATTCACACATTAAATTTAAAAATTGCATGGCAGAATCATAAACTTTGGTGAAAAAATCCCGTCACCCCTTGTTAATTTATATTGATAAGATTTTCTGGACTTTGTAAGACTTAATAAAGCGAAATATAAACCATTTAGCAATGAAGCGCTTATAACTTATTGCTTATCTACGAGACAGCATTTCTCCTAAAGGAAACTGGATATTGTGACCTTGACCCAAGAAGTGTTTTGAACTTTGTATATTAAGATGTTTATTCAAATAATGACCTCTGGAAAGAAGACTTGCAGTTGCTCTTACAAAGTATACATGTATCAAGTTTCCTACTTGTATTCAGCAAATGTTCTGAGTTTTCCATATAAGATCCATTTGATGTACACATTAGCAATATGACTTACATTATGAAGAATTTCATTTTGCTCCAAAAATTATGCCTTTTATGATAATCTGCATGAATTTAACCCTTCGTGATTTACAAGACTAAAACAGCGTTCCTTTCATTTCAAAGATTTTTGTGATAACCATTGTGTAGGAAATCAATTTTGTACAGGACAACAATGTTGCAATTTTGCTTCAGTCTGAGCTTCCCCATGTTGTCTTCAGAAGTTCATAAACCTACTTTTTTTTTACTTTCAATTAAAATAATTAATAACAATTAATAATTTTTAGAGCTCATATTGCTTAAAGAAAACAAGTATGATATTCAAGGAATATTGACAAAAATCAAGTCATGGCATCATAACCATAAGTAATCTAAAGACTTCCATTATTTTTTTCATCATTGAAATTTAATCAGTTTCAACGCAGCACATAATCCTTATATTAAAAAAACCAAACTCATCTTCAAGATGCTTTATTAGTTTTATAAAGTTGTAAAACATAAGTAAAACAAAATCATAAAATTTGTTTTTATACATCCTTGACATCTGACATTTATGCAATATATTAAGAGTACATACAAATAAAGAAACTCATACACATAAAGGTACCGGTTTTTGAGTAGCTTGAGGTATACAGACTAATATCAACTAAGTCCTGAAGAATCCAGGATAGAGTGAAAAAGTCCCTGAATGTTTGAACTACTCCGTATACCCAAAGATACGGTAAAAATCATCCCTCTTTACTTCTTTTCATCTGAACCCTGTAAAACAAAAAGATGACATAATTACTTTGTATGCAATAGTCATTCCTAGTTAAATCATACATTTTTTTTTTTACAAAAATAAATCTAAACTGATCATTTTATGTCTTTTATTTTTTATATTCTAATTCTTTTAGTGACTTTCTAAGAACATTAAGAGCCCGTGTTAGCAATAATTTCCATTTTTTGTGATAATAAGGTTTTTCTTTAGCATTCATTGTGACTAAGGCTTTTTGTGATTTCTTAAGAATTCAGGTACTGTCTTTAACATTAGTTGTGACTAAGAGCCTTTTTGTGAAATCTTTTCGAGTCTAGGGCATTTCTTTTACATTTATTGGAATTAGAACCTTTTTGTGGTATCTTACAGGACCTATATTTAGCATTATTTAGTATTTAGTCTTACCATGCGCTTGTTCCATTCCTCAGAAGCCTTGTCTTTTACTTCCTCTGCCTTTTCTTTTGCAGTCTCTACTTTGTCCTTAACTGCATCTTTTACCTCTATATACCAAAAGATTTTAAGTTTAATACAAATGGCTGAAAGTAACTATCCATCATGAATAACAACAAAGAATGAAACTTCTTGTGTTTATTAGCTCCAAAACCTACCTTCTGTGGTTGATTTTTCCTTTTCTTCTTCAGGATTCTAAATTAACATAAAGAAAAAAAATACACATCAAGAGAAAAAAAATACACACCAGGATGCCATATGAAAATCATATTTGCCTTCTATCCTAATTGAGAGAACGTATGATTTTGTGTATTCATGATTGTTTAGTATGAACTTTAAAGTTCTTCTAGATTGAACTTTTTCTAGCCTCTTAAGAACTTTAGTACAAGGAGACAAACAGTTTAGAGCTCTATAAGCGAATGAATTGGTAAAGGATGGTTCTTTCTAGTAGAACAAAGTAGATGTTATGTGTCAAATTGTTTACATTCAGCATTCTGGGCGACATTGAGGACCCTACAAGATTTTTATTTTTTGTTCCTTGCATCAAGAATAGCTTCTTACCACCCGCTTGTTCCATTCCTCTGAGATTTTATTTCCTGCAGCATCTACCTTTTCTTTTACTGTGTCTTTTATTTCTGAGAAGAACATTTGAAAATATAAGGTGTTATATTTCATTAAGACTGCAAATAAATTTTAAATGCTCATTCCTATAGCTACCTATGCCAGTAAAGAAAGTAATGACGACTAGAGTTCACTATTCAAACTTACCTTCAACCTTTGATTTGTCCTTTTCCTGCTCCTCAGGATGCTAAACAAGTAGAGGTAACTGATACTAAAATAACCTCTAGAACAATGTGCATAAAATGCTGAATGCAAACAGTTTTACATTTTACTAAAAAGAGCCATCAATTACAAAAAGACAATTTCTCTCTTATGTAAATTGTAAGGTTCTTATTTTCATACTGAATTGACTACGGGTTTGTTATTTACACAATCATGACAAGGGGCACAAGGCGGATCGACAGGGATGTCTACTCGTCCCCGGCACCTGATCCCAACTCTTTTTCAAAAGTCTGTGTTTGCTCTGCTAACAATTTGTATTGTTTCAATGAACTTTTGAACATGATTATTGTTCGTTATCTTCATATTTTATACAGCTTTTAAACTCTTCTCAGTCTTCTGACTTGTATGCATATACTTCTTTCGTAAATATTTTTTAAATACAAGAAGCTTAACAATTCCTCACCATTCTTTTGTTATATTCCTCTGTGATGACTTGTCCTGCGTGCTCTAACTTTTCTTGTACAGTGTGACCAACCTCCTGAAGTTTCTCACTTACATTGCCCAAGACTCCAGGCTACAAAAAATAATAAATTATAATAACGATTTATTTGTATGCCCCTTTATATATATAATTTTCAGTTGAAATGCATTCATATTCAACTACTTATATTTTTGTTTACATCCTTGCAATTTGACAAAAAAGAAATGTATGCAACAAAGTCATTTTCTCCGCGCAAGTTTAATTTCACTGCTTAAAAATCGCAAAACTTGCAATAATATATTTGTTCCTATAGAACATGCTTTATTAATTGTGATTCCTGATTACTTACAACAAATTACATTTACAATGTAATTAAATGTGTATATACCAACCTTCTGATCTTTGTTGTTGTCAGCCATTTCTTTTAGCTTTCCTGTGAAATAAAAATTACATTCATTAAATATTTTCTTAAATATGCAAAGACGTACGTCTGCTCATTTGTATACAAGTAAAGACTTAAAAGAGTTTAATTAATATATATATGGGGACGTTATAACCTATAGAAACAAGAAAAAATATCCCGACGCTTATGTTTACTTTGAATACTTAGTATTACTTTAGTTATTATATCACATTTTGAAAATAAAATATACGTGCTTTATATGTTTGTTTCTGTTAAAAGAATGAATGCTTCATACATGCTTTCAGTACAGTTCATTTTCTTTTGAAAAGATCAAAATAAAGTAGGTATTCTTAAACTGGAAGTACTCCTGAGGGCATTTACACACTCAGAACAGACACGTGACACTTATATAGCCACTTTAGAAATGCAAAACGTAGGAATTTCATTATTTTAACCTTAGCCTGATTTTTTTTTCTCGTTGATTGTACAGAAACTCCAAAACACAGAGGTGTGTGAACAGGTTTGCAAAGCGCCAAAATTCAGCCAATCAGAATTTTTGTTTGGCTATTCAGAGCCAATGGGAAGAGAGAATAACATGTTACGAAAGCTTGTTTTTTGTGTCACTGGGTCGTATTGTTTAGATCTTTTATCGATTTTACTGTGTATTTTTGATATCACATAGATACATTGAAGAAACACCGAGAGATTTTTTTTCTGCTAAATTTTTTAAAATTCAGTAAAACATATCTTATATATATATCAAAATATTAAATCACCTTTCTTGCAGTCTCACGTTTGGAAAGTAACACACTAACTGCATATAAAATATAAATTTTCTTCGATAATTTCTTGAAAATGGAATATTATTAACACTTTTCAATATATCTGTATGTCTAATTCGATCATTGCTTATTCACAATAAAGTTAAAGAAAAAAGACAATATACATTTATTCACCACATGATAAATAAAAAAAAATCGTAATACTTTCGTAATATTACAATAATTTAAATTAATTTTGGTTTTCCTTTTTTCATAAAGAAATTTAACTTTTAAAAGTATTCTAATGTGATTTATCAAAGAACACGATGAATTAAGCCCCTTTAAAAATCTTTCTAGAACATTCTGGAAGATTGGAGGAATCTCCCCAGCATGGAAGTTTCTAGAAATCTTATATCCTAGAAATTTTAGCATGATGAATTAAAACATTTTTTTTTCTACAATGAAAAATAAAAAATGCTTTTTACATAACATTTTTGTGATTTTTGCCAGAGAAAGTTGTTTTACAATTATTTATACAAACAACGCGCAGAAAAAAAAACTAAATTAAATTGATTTTAAAATTGAAAAACTACAGTTTTAATTTTCAATGCATATGAAAAGTAGACAATTAAAAATAAAAGCACAAACGCATGAAGTGAAAACTTACCGAAGTGTACTTATTGCTTCTGAGTTAGAAAATGAAGGCAACGTGTTACTCAGAATTTAGAATAAATTGTTATTTTGCGCAGTTTACTCTGTTTTGTGCGCAGCAATCGGGCCAATGAACCTTATGGACGAGGTCCCCGAAAGGAGGCACGTGCTAGATATGTTTTTTCTTTATTGATTTATTTTTAGTACGTATATACTGGCAACATTTTCTTTTAAGTAGATAAAAACAGAACCTTTTTATAAATACTTTGGTTTTCTTGATGAAACATGCATAAACGTTAACAAAAATATACTGTGAGCATTTGTTCTTTCTTAAACAAAGCTTAATTGATGAATAAAAAGCTTTTTGATAAAAGAAATTTCTATTTATCTCTTTTATTCCATTACATTTAATATATTTTGACAATGAATCCCTTGTAAAGTATTTACTGTATACAGTATCCGTTCAGTGACCTCTCATGTTCAGTAATCAGGTCATTGAACCCAACGGACAATGTCCCATTAAAGCTTCCACATCGATATACTGCCAACTGATTGTTGATATTATAACAAGACCAGAAATTAAAAATTGCTCTTTAGAAGATGCATTTTTATTGTTGTTTGTTGGAAAATTAATTATAAAAACTAACAGATTACTGTTCTCATTGCTTTGAGAGTATTTGTTTCGGAGACGGTGACATTATAACGATTAATAAATAAGTATGTAGATTTACGAGAATTTTATGAATACCATGAATACATGAAATGTTTGAATTGCCTGACAGAGCAGTGTTGTGAAAGTATTTTCCCAATGGCGCCCTTGAGGCAGTGTAAGGGTTGTTCATTGACTGATAATTTACTAAACAATCGTATATAATGGGATGTCTTACTTTTTGCTGGGTACAACTTGTTTTATAAACATTTCGAATCCTGTTCTTTCCAAAACTAATAGAAATACATAAACTTATTTTTTTAAATTTTTTTTTAACCTTTTTAAAAAAATTACTATGAGTTACATTAGGCTTTGAATTCTGTACAAATACCTTACTAAATTGATACTAGAAAAGAACATTTTCGTTACTTTTGTTTGTGTCTTTGTAAAGCATGATGCAAGATTTTACTTCTTTACATATTACAAAAATAAAAATAAATTTCTTCATCATTATTTGAATACAGGTTTTTTCTCAAAAATTGAATTTTTGTTTGTTTAAAGATATAACATTACCTTTTAACTAAAATGTTTTGAAAATGGTGTCCTTGATTTTGTTCATAATTAATATTCTCACAAGAGAGATCCTTTCTTTCATAATTTTCCTCACAACCAAAATCGGGGGATTTTTTAAAATTATATTTCTATATTTAAAAAAGAATGTTTTTGTTTGGCCATTTTTATACTTGTACCTCTGCTAAACACTATTTTTCACGTTTTAATTTCTTCTGTATTAAGGACATTTATTTTTTGAAAGCACAGAAAGACGAAACGATCCTTTCCTACAGGTGAAAAGTTCCTACTTGAATCTAACGACATACGTACCTATCCAAATCTCAGTTTTATGAATGAAATGCCTTCTTAAGTCAACATGACATGACAAGCAAACAAACTTACCGATGTGTTTCCACTGAATGAGGATATGTCTATGACGAGATTCAAGAATTTTTGAAATTTATAGTGTTTTTTTGCGCGGTTAATGTGTTTTGTAGCAAATTGGGTCAATGAACTCTTCCGGACGAGGTCCTCGAAAGGAGGTCATTCACTCTTCGGTTTGTCCTTCCAACTGACTCAGTATTATTATATTGGAGCCAAGATTACTAGAAATATGAAACTTTTTTTGCGTTGTACATGTTATCCTGTTTACTATATGGAGTCATTTTAGAAGAGTTTAAGAAATTCTTATGCCAGCTGTTCAAAACATAAACAAAAACTGTTTTTGAGGCAAATATACATTTCTGGTTGGGAGGATTTTAAATATATCCATCAATTAACATAATGAAAATGTGTTCTATTCTCCCGTAAAAAGTACAGGGACTCGGTTGGAGTATTCAGTGTATTGTGTATTCTACACGTGTCTGAAAATGAACACCAAAAAAAAAAAGGCTGAACATTATCAACAGATACGTACATTAATGGGTATTCCGAAACGTGTAACTATCTGGGCCAGGCGGGGGTAATTAATCTTATGTTGACATTTTGTTTTCATGAATGAAATGACGGAATGCTTGAAATATTTTGAGACAACTTATAGTATTTCAGCTTTAAAGTTTTTTTTTTAAAACTTTCTTTCACTCAAAGAAAAACTGGCTTAAATGATGATAAAAATTAAACCCTCCTAAATCGTTCATATCTCAGCAGAAGAAAAGTTTTGCTTGTACATGTACTACTAAAAGCACACAAAGGTATAATTGCAATGAGTGTAGAGCGTAAACTAACATGATAAAAATTCATGCATAACGGTCGGTTACGGATAGGAATACATGTACGTCACCCGAATGACTCAGGTGACCTACAAGTATTCAGTCAACCGGAAATAGATAAAAACATGAAAAAAAAATATGGCAATTATAATTTTCTAGGATGTCATTTCAGGTTTTTGAGATTTTTTTTTGATAATTAATAAAAACTTTGGACTTAAAACAAACATTAATGATGTATTATGGGACATTTTTGTTCGAATCTTAATGATTGTATGTAGAATAAATAGTCTTCAATGTAACTAAATTTTTGTTTATTTACATACAAATCTTTTCATTTCTATGGTATGTAGGAAAAGTATGTGGCAACATGCTCTGAAGCAGTAAGAATTGGAAAGGGAGTGACACAAGAGAGGGTTGTTATTAATGTGAGGAAGCCATCCTTTTTAAGAGATATGTCACTAGATAAACTGCTTCAATACGAACTCCTGTAACACTAAAATCGATCTGAGCATGTTTTATTGATATACAGATAAACAATGGGATTAGGCACAAGTTCTAAAAATTTAAATTGTCCTCTCTATCATGTTGTTTCAACAGAATATCTATATCTATCTATCTATCTATCTATCTATCTATCTATCTATCTATCTATCTATCTATCTATCTATCTATCTATATATATATATATATATATATATATATATATATATATATATATATATATATATATATATATATATATATATATATATATATATATATATATTATATGCAATCATTGGCGAAGAGAATGAATAAAATGTTATGCAAACAAGCGCAGTTTCATTACATGCGCATTATAGAGGATTAAAATACTTCACTTCTTCGTCAACATATTTGCAACGCTATAATTATCGGCGACACGAGACAACGAAGAGATAGTTAATTTACGATGATAGGTTAAAAGGTAGGCATGTTTTTTGAATTGATCACCATAAATTTATGTGCACATGTAGAAATGTAAGCGTGTTTGCTCGCATGATGATTGCATAAAAGAAAAAAAACCCCATCTGCTTAAATTACAAATTCATTCACCACTTAGAAGTTACATCAATCTTATTTGCTTGTCTACAAATGTAAATGGAATCCTCTCAAAAATATGCTGTGTTTTATTTTAGCATCTTTCTGATGTAATGCAGAAAGTTTTAAGGCAAAGATTGAAATGATGCACTCAATAAAAAACCACTGCATAAAAAGTTGTTTTTTTTTTGTAAAATGAATATGGTATAGCAGTTCTCTAACTGTACATAAACGAAATATGAAAAGACATAACAATTTATACTTATTTGACACGAAAACAGATGAAAAAAAAATCTCATACTACAATGCAATCAGGAAAACAATAATGAAAAAAATACAACTAATGGGTGATTTTTATTTATTTGGCACTTTATTTTAATATTTAAGCCAAAGAATATATATATATATTTCTACGACGTCTTAATCCCCCTCCTCAAACCGTTTTTGGCTTTGTTATACTAACACTTTCTCCACCAAATAGTTAAAAATCACTCCGATTCTACCCACAAGTACTTCTGAAGTTGATATTAAGATGCTGGAATTCCTCATTGACAACATTTATATAGTCTTCGGAGACTAGGTTTGACAATAAACTGTTTGAATTATGATGGGCACTAATTGTGCTCCTTTACAAGCCGAACTGTTTTTATATTCCTATGAAACAGAATTTATTTAAAAATTTTTTACATGAGAAGAAGAAAACACTTGCTGTGGCCTTCAACTCAACTTTAAATATTATCAAATATCAATTAACAATAGTTACTTGAATTCATATGAAGACTCGATGTATCCCAGTGAACCTGAAATTGAAGACACCACAGAATCTGACACATCTGTTTCATATTTGGATGTTTTACTGAATATAAACGATAAGGGTCAACTAACAACAAAATTGTATGACAAACGAGATGACTTCAGCTTTTCCATGGTCAACTTTCCTTATTTATGTAGTAATATCTCTCTATACCTGCACCTGAGTTTACATTTCCCAACTTATTCGATACTCAAAAGCATGCTCCGAGGACGATCATTTTTAAACTAAGGCAGGCTACTGACAGATAAGTTGCTGCTACAGAGATTTCAAAAACCTCCTTTAAAGTCGATATTTCGAAAATTCTATGGTCGTTTTAATGACCTTGTTAGACAATATAATCTATAATTGGGTCGTATTTTAGCTGACATGATTCATACCATTTGTTAGGCCTTTGTTTTTATACTGAATTTGTCTACTGATACTCCGTCTTCCTGATCAATACATAGGGTTCACGGAGGGTGTGGCCGGTCAACAGGGGATGCTTACTCCTCCTAGGCTAGGGACCCATCTAGTACATCGAAATTGGTACTGTATATGATTTACATCCAACCTCTGGAATTTTCAGGGGTCCGTATTTACTGCCCTGTTCACAAATTTGTATTGTCTACAGATTTTTTTTTTTTTTTTTTTTTTTTTTTTTATAGATCGATCACTGTTTGTTATCTTAATCTTTTTTATTGAGTGAAATGTATGGAGATAATAAATAGTATTCAAGCTCAAAAGTCCATTAAACAATCCAATTTTTGGATCAGAGGAAACAAAGACCTCTAAAACATCAGATGTTGGATCAGGTGCCA